TCCAATATATATATATATATATATATATATATATATATATATGGGATGGTTTGCCTGCTGCCACTGACGAATTGTCGATAGTTGTGTCATCGGACTACTATGGGAACCTAACTTTTAAACTGAATGAGCGTGTTAAGAGAGTGCAACTTAGGCGGTTCTAGTCTGCTGCTAGATTTGCATATAAAATATACTTTAACCTCTGTCGTGAGATCTTTGTACGGCCTATTCACAGCGGAATGAGAGGTAACTATGGACACTGAAATGAATGAACTTTCTTCCAGGGATTGTGACACAGCTAAATTACACACCTAACAATTAACGGAACGAATATTGTTTGACAATATCCGCACCGAAACGTTGGGCAATAAACCTCGCTATATTAACGTTGCCATATTCCAAAGTAAGCAACCACACGTAGTGGAGACAGTAAGATAAATCGCAATACACAGGTTCTCACATTTCTGATGAAAACTATACTCCGATGAACTTCAACTACACCCCAAGGGCTATCGAGTCGTGGATTTGACTCTGGAAATGTGGTAGCATAGAAAACTTCGACAAATAAGGAAGAATTACGGAATGTTTTCACTACGAAAATCTCTGAAAGACTTACGCAATACGAGTTGAAGCAGCACACACGTGCAGTGCTGGGGGAACATACTGTAATCGCACCCGGCAGGCGTCGAATGCCGCTGCGGCGTGAACTGGGATATTGAGAACGGGTTCAGGTCAACGGAGGGACAACTGGGCTGCTGTAGAGTACGGACATGCCTTGAATGTCAGACTGGTTCGTAGTCTTTGGGCTGACGCGCAGATGTCCTCGCCAATGAGCGAGTGACAGACAGACATCGTGGGCCCCCGTTCGTATGGCTGAACCAGAAGGTTGTTGATTGGCCGAGCGGTCATACCCAAATGCGCCTGTCATACCCTCGCACTGATTTCACGGCACATGCGCGGCACATGTCAACATACTGAAGCGCGCCATGAAAACTGACTGCTGTATGCATTTGACACGTCGAGCAAGCCAAGGTTAGCGAGTGTCCTGATAATGGAACAAAAGAGACTCGGCCCGTTTGGACGCGTGAGTGGCCCGCTCAGGGAAACTTCATGATTGGCTTCGGCCACAATCAGAAACTCATCGCCTTTGCTTAAGATGCCATGCGGGCAGCTTCCGCGAGTACCGCGAAGTCGCGGTACAAACACTGACGCAAGCTACCGTGGCAAGCAATGAACACCTGCAGACCAATGGCGTTTAGTTCGCGATTATACTGTCGCGTTCCTTACCGTGGTGAGTTGTGATGTGAAGCAGTGTACATTTCTCCGCTTCGTGTGCAACTGCCAGAAAAAGAACAGTCAAGATACTGTCACAACTAGCATGAAAATCTCGTGTTTTAATGTACTTCGAATGGTTGATTCTGGAGTAGATGGTCTTATAAATTACTTTAAAAAACGGTTTTTGACCACTAGTCGTTTGCTTTGGTGGTTTCCTGCTTCCGAGTCACAATTAATTTTCAGAAACAAGATGTGCCACAAATGACCACAAATATATTCCGCAATGCTGTCTCAGTTCGTTTTCTCAATTGCTGCATATTTTCATGATTTTGTGGCCTAATGTTTTATATGATATGGCTCCGTCACTCCACTCATACGCAGGTGGCTCCAGGGAGGAATGGACGACGTGGTGGTTGGTTTTATCTTCATCCGACTCCGTTGAGCGTCTGTCACGCCGACCAAAAGTATTGGGGCAGGACACAAACAGTACTACATGTTGGTGCAATGGCTCGCTTGTAGTATGTCAGTCGTGTACCTCGGAACGAATCTCAGCGATTACGACTACGACGATCGAAATAATGGTGTGGTATACGCATTTGTCTGCAGGCCAGTATGTCGGTACTGTTGGATTCCCCTTGAAGTTTTCCAACCTGGCATTTGCGTGCTCGGTGCGAATGCGCGGTGCTATTGCGAAAAGATCGACGCGATGCCATTCCACGTTGTGGTATGGACTGCCAAGCAGTGACAAAGTGAGAATTACAATGATGAAGGTGAAGATCGATGCGATGGGTTGCATTGGAGAGAAGCAGTGGTAGAAGAGACTACACTATATAGCCCCCAGAAAGTGGATCCAATAAGAACAAAATGATAACAAATTTTCATAGGTACAGAGACTTATAAAGTGGGAATTCAGAGAAGCAAAGTGACTGGTCAAACAAGGTCTGAACTGAGCTTCATTACATACTGAACACATACTAAAAAGTGTAGCATTATTAAGTGGCAGGATCGTTTGTCGATCGGGGATGGGATGGAGTCCACAAACTATGTACCTCAACAAATTCACTTACTTGCATATCGTTTGGTTTTCACGGGCGACTCAAATGAATTTATCATTGATGACATGCAAATGAGTGTATTCTTAGAAATCTGTCCATTTGAGTTCCAAGGAGAACTTAAGGCTAACGGAAAATCGGAGACTGCGCCTACCTGATGAGCCCCAAGAACGGTGAAACCGGTCGTGGGTTGTCGAAGAGTTTTCAGCAACCTTGTGAGTAGTTTCCCTCATGAAAATCATGGATTATTTTCATCTGTGGGATAGAGCATCATGACCAGGTGGTAGTTGGCTAATGCTTCTTTTGGGCGAAGTTTCACTCCAATCTCCCGAGTTGAGATTTCAAATTTCCCATGTACTAGGCAATAATGGACACACAGCAAACGGAATGATCGCTCTTTTTGAACACGTGTAGCTTCAGTTTGCAATATTTTTGTTTTTATCAGTAAAATTAATCCAATCTGTCATATTCTTTATCTTCCTAAACCATCTAACTTATTCTTTGCAGAGATCCAAATTTTCGGTAATTCTCTCCTCACCCACTTGACTACTGCTTCCTTTTTGAAGTTTAGGTTTGTGCCTACCTCTTCAGGACCCACCCTACTTGATACCGGCACACCGGATTTCTAATCCGTTGGACCAGATGCTGCTTCCTTTTTGAAGTTTAGGTTTGTGCCTACCTCTTCAGGACCCACCCTACTTGATACCGGCACACCGGATTTCTAATCCGTTCGGACCAGATGCACTCTTCCGAACTAGTTCTGTGGTTCACATCGATCTCTGGAAGATGATGATAGGATCCGACTCATGCACTGCTGAGTTCCAACAGCTAAGATACCGTGCCGTCAGACTCCGAAAATGAGTTTGGGACTGCCATCGAGGTTTTTTTCACAAACAAGATACAAGACGGGTCACTCACTCTGTGCGTATGGACTCAGAAAGCCTTTCGTAAGTTTTCCACAGTTAAAACCTCATTCCTAATTGCTTCTTTTGTAACTCCACTTCTGAGCCGCGACGGCAACTAGTGGCGGATCCTCAGGCAGCTCCCACTTGGATAACAATGAGCCAGGTTACTTGGACATCCTGAAGACTTTTGATTTTGTATGAAACCATGGCATTATCGTCACACTACTAATGTACAGCCTGCAACCTCTTTCACTCGATGGACCATCCAAGATTATCCACAAGTTTGCTATCTTCATGCATGTCCGGAGGATGCTGCCTTCAATATATTCTCTTCTAACTGAGGCGACGACCGCACAAGGTCAGTAGAATACTGAGCGCTGAGCTCGTTAATATGTGCGATCGGGGTTCATCAAACGAAGTTACAAACAACCTTTCCTTAAAGGTTTCCCTCTGCATTTTTACCGCTACGGTGGCACACTGATGATATCACTGAAGCTCGACGGCGTAACCTTTTAGCATGGTAAACACTCGGAAACGACAAAGAAAAGTCATCCGAAGTGGACAGATGCGTACGTCACGCGAAAATGCGCTTTTCGCCTGTTATAAATGATACCAGAATGAAACAGCTGGGGATAGGTGACCGCGCAGTTCGTGCCAAGTTCGTAATCCGAGAGTTCGCGTACTTGGGGGCGGAAAATGTCGTTCAAGTAAACCAGAATCAACAACCCCTGAAAGGCGCAGAAGTAAGTTTTAATGCCTATTTTAGGTACAGCAAGTAAGTTTATTTGGTTACAGGCTTACACAACACATTTTCTCTTCTGCAAGAGGTATATCCAGGACAACTACACCGGCTCTTTTCTTATTTGTCCTGCATCTGGTTCCATAGTTTCCCACTTGTCCTTCCTATGTCATCTAACATTCTTCCCTGACCGCCTCCCATTAAACCAGTTGTAACTGTGGCTTCAAGGTGAATTTGGTTTCGGAGATTCCTCTGCACCTCTCACTAGCTCTTAATCTGCAAGTTCCTAATCTTCCCCTCAGAGGCAACGGGAAGCAATGTGCCTCATTAGCTTCCATATTCTGTCATGTATTTTTCTCACTGTCACACCTTAACCCTTTTTTTATCCTGTATCCACAATAACTTGAAAATTTTTTTTGGTAGACTATTCACTTCCACCTCCCAAGTACATCGCTCCTCAAACTTGCCTCTTCCTTCCCCTCTGACGCTATAAGTGGATAGTAAAATTCGCTTCCTTGCTTAGAATGGTAATCGTTATTCTATAGAAAAGGATACATTGTAGATTTTCACTAAGAAAACGTTCACTTTTCATAGAGGAAACTACTCACAAGGTTGCTGAAGACTCTTCGACAGTCCACCACCGGTTTCACCCTTCTTGGGACTCCTCAGGTAGGCGCAGTCCCCGAGTTTCCGTCAACCTTATGTTCTACTTGAACCCTTTATTGCACTGTTTTCGAGAAATGCACTCATTTGCCAATCAATTTGGATTTCGTGAGAGACTCAACTGAATCTCTGGTTTATGATATTCTACAACTGAATGTGCCCCACCCAGGCCGCCTCATGATCCAGTTGGCACGATATTCGAGATATCTCTCACAAGGTTGCTGAAGACTCTTCGACAGTCCACCACCGGTTTCACCCTTCTTGGGACTCCTCAGGTAGGCGCAGTCCCCGAGTTTCCGTCAACCTTATGTTCTACTTGAACCCTTTATTGCACTGTTTTCGAGAAATGCACTCATTTGCCAATCAATTTGGATTTCGTGAGAGACTCAACTGAATCTCTGGTTTATGATATTCTACAACTGAATGTGCCCCACCCAGGCCGCCTCATGATCCAGTTGGCACGATATTCGAGATATCTCAATATATTTTCATAAAGGAGACTACTCACAAGGATGCTGAAAGCCAAATTGACGTGCAAACGAGTGTATTACTCGAAAATGTTCACTTTCTTTGTCGTTCTCAGTAACAGTGTTTGGACAAAAACTCAGATGACAACCTCGTTAGACATTTGTTTCTTGGAGCTGAAACCATCAGCTTTCTACATTGCAATGATGAATGTCATCTCTTGTGAGCGCGATGCACCATAAGAATGATGAATGTCATCTCTTGTGAGCGCGAATAAGTTTAAATTACATTGTGTGATAGCTTCCAGCTGATGCACCATAAACGTGCTGATCTCAGACTCAGGAACAGCCAATCTGTGCTGTGACATGCATGCGCATCAATGTGCCGATCGCCTATATGGGCTGAGTCACAATGACTTTCACGCACTACGGCCTGTCAGGCGTAAACATCAATAAAAAATTTATAGGGACACCCAATATTTTCGAATCACTCGGTTGAGTAGGATTTTTGTGATTGGCTGAAGTACATCAAAAGAAGACGTATGTGACACTTCAGGAACTCGGCCTAGTAGACTTAGCTAATTCTAACTTCATGAGGACCCTTTATCTATCATGAGATGACCAAACATCCTAACCGGTAACCAGGCCAACAAACAAAGTCCCGAGGAAACTAAGTT